TGAGCATCCTCACAGTTGGTACAATGATAAATAGGACATTATTGCTATTGTTAGTTGTTGTTGAGTCAGCATCAACTCATGGTAACTACAACTGAACAAAACCCCGCCAGTCCTGTACCACCCCCATGATTGATTGCAGATCAGACCATTGTGATCTGCAGAGTTTTCATTGGCTGATTTTCAGAAGTGTATCACCAAGCCTCTCTTCCTAGTTCATCTTAATTAGGAAGTTCTACTGAAACCTATTCAGCATCATGGCAACATGAAAGCTTCCATTGACAGAGGGGTGGTGGCTGTGCATGAGATGCATTGGTCGAGAACTGAACTTGGGTCTCCTTCATGGAAGGTGAGAACTCTACCACTGAACCACCAATGCCTCACAAAGAAGACACAAAGAACTTGTATTCATGAAAGACTGGCCAGACTGCCACTGTTCGAATCCCAGCTCTGCTGCTCTCTCACTGTGGGGCTATGAGCCAATTTCATAGCAGCCTCTCTGTGCCTCAATTATTTACATGTAGCTCCCATTTGGGAGCTAGTAAGAGTTCTTTCCTCACAGTGTGCCTGTGAGGATTAGGGGAGAGGGAGGGAGTAAAACTCTTGATGGGGATATTTTATGGAATCACTACTTAGTAGGTGTGAGCCACTGTCCTCACCTACCTCTGGGGAGTGTTCAAACAGTACAGGGTTGAGAGGAACCTGCCTCACCCTGCTACTTGCCCACCTTGTGAAAGACATGGTTGTGTGGTGAACTGCTTGCACCAAAAATCTTGGGGTCACCTTGCCTCTTCCACTTGTCCTCAAACTTATCTGTTCCATCAGTCCAGAACACACACACACACACACACACACACACTTGTCATTCAGTTGACTTCAACTCGTGTCAAGCCCATATGTGTCAGAGCAGAACTGTGCTCTGTGGGATTTTCAATGTTGTGATCTTTCAGAAGTAGATCACAGGCCTTTCTTCCAAGGTGCCTCTGGATGGACTTGAATTGAACCTTTCGGTTTGCAGCCAAGTGTGTTACCATTTGACCTACCCAAGGACTTCATTTTTTTTTTTTTCCATGAGCAAAGTCTCACTATCCTCCCTTTGAGGGAGCATTCTGGCTACATTTCTCCCAAGACACATTTGATCATTTTCCTAGCCTTTGCATAGTCAGTAAAACACAGATAGACATTTTTCTGATAGTCTCTGCTCTCCTTTGACATCAGCAATGATATCCCCCATTCCACATCCTCTTCTCAATCTGTCTTGAATTTCTGATAGTTCTCTGTCGACATACTGCTGCAACCATCTTTGAATATCTTCAGCAAAATTTTACTTGCCTATCAGCCACTCCTCGGAAGGAAGATGGAGCAATCTACTTCCGTAGTGATACTGCCTCGGAAACCCAAGGAGGGGTCGCTATGAGTTGGGTCCGACTTGACGGCACATAACAACAACAATGGTGACGTAGGGAGGTCTGATAGCATAGTGCTTAAGGCACTTGACTGCCAACCAGAAGGTTGGCGATTCAAACCCACCAGCCACACCTCAGAAGAAAGGTTGGGCAATCTACTTCCATAGTGATACCACCTCAGAAATCCAAGGAGGGTCGCTGTGAGTAGGGTCCGACTCGATGGCACATAACAACAACAACAACAACAACATGGTGGTGTAGTGTCTAGGGCATCTGACTGTTAACCAGAAGGCTAGCAGATCAAACCCATCAGTCACCCCTTGGAAGGAAGGTTGGGCAATCTACTTCCATAGTGATACTGCTTCGGAAACCTTGGGAGGGGTCACTATGAGTTGGATCTGACTCGATGGCAGTGCGTATGATATTAATAATATTGTTTGATGATTTTCATATTCTACTGATCATCTTTCTTTGGAATGGGAACAAATGTGCATCTCTTCCAGTCAGTTGTCAAGTACCTGTCTTCCAAGTTTCTTGGCATAAATGAGTAAGTGCCTGTAGAACTGCCTCCATTTGTTGAAACATCTCAGTGTCAATTTTCGAAACTTTGCTTTTTGCCAATGCCTTCAATGTAGCTTGGACTTTTTATTTCAATACCATCAGTTCTTGGTCATATGCTACCTCCTGAAATTACTGATCACTGACAAATTCTTTTTAGTACAGTGACTCTGTATTCCTGCCAATTTCTTCTTTTTTTTTCTTTTGCTTTGAGTCATCACTGCCACAAGATAGAAAGATGATTGCCAGATTTATTACTATATTGTGCCAACTTCTTTTGATGCATCCTGCATTGTTCAATATTTTGCCCATACAATCCTCCAATATTACAACTCAAAATTTGAATTTTTTCTTCATTTCTTTCAGCTTGAAAAATGTTGTGTGTTCTTCTCTTTTGGTTTCCTATCTTCAAGTCTTTGCATATTTCATTATAATACTTTACATTGCCTTCTTGAGTGGCCTTCTGAAATCTTTTGTCTAGCTCTTTTACTTCATAATTTCTTCCATCCACTTTACTCTACTTTCAGGGGTAAGTTTCAGAGTCTCTTCTGACATCATTTTTGTCTTTTCTTTCTTTCTTTCTTGTCATTTTAATGACTTTTTACTTTCTTCACATGTGATGTTCTTGATGCCATCCCACAACTCATCTGGTCTTTGGTCATTAGTGTTCAATGCTTCAAATACATTCTTGAGATGGTCTCTAAATTCAGATGGGATATATTGAAGGCCATACTTTGGCTCTCTTGGACTTGTTTTAATTTTCTTCAACTTCAACTTGCACTTGCACTTGCACAGCAGTAATTTATGGTCTGTTACACAGTTGGCCCCTGGCCTTGTTCTGACTAATAAAATTGAGCTTCTCCATCATCTCTTTCCACAGACACAGTCGATTTGATTCCTGTGTATTCCATTTGGTGAGATCCATATGTATAGTGGTCATTTAGGTTGTTGAAAAAAAAAAAAGGTATTTGCAATGAATAAATTGTTGGTCTTACAAAATTCTATCATGTGATGTCTGGTGTAGTTTCTATCACCAAGGCCATTTTTCCTAACTACTGATCCTTCTTCATTTTTTTTCTCTTTCCAACTTTTGCATCTCAATCACTAGTAATTATTAATGCATCTTGATTGTGGGTTTTTTAAAAAAATCAATTTTAGACTGCAGAAGTTGTTAGAAATATTCAATTTCTTCATCTCTGGCTTTAGCAATTGATGCATAAATTTGAGTAATAGTAATGTTAACTGATTTTCTTGTATGCCTCTCTAGTGCTGCTATAACAGACATACCCTAAGTGGATGGCTTTAATAAAAAGAGATTTATTCTCTTACTGTTTAGGAAGCTAGAAGTCCAAGTTCAAGTTGCTGGCCCTAGGGGCTAGGTGAAGGTCCCTAGATGTTGGGCTTCAGCTTTACCTCCTGTTCCAGGCTCACTAGAGCTAGAAGCTTTTTCTGACTCACACAGCTTCTGGCTGCTGAGGCTGATGAACCCAAGATCAACAAGTAAAATGGCACAGTCCCAAGATTAGCAGACAACATGGCAGGCTACTAGTTCAAGTCTAGGAACAATCCCAAGATTGGGCAGGCAACGTGGCAGGCCACTGAGATGAAGACTGGGCCAAGTGCAGGATCCAGATGTACTAAAAAAGGCCAAGACCTTTCCCAGAGCTTCCTCTTATATACCACACTCAAAGGCAACTACTTAACTGCTCACAGTACATTACACCATGGAGATGATTACAATCTCATCATAGGGAATAACTACATCTAGCTGCCCAGCTTCTCAAAACTGTGGCCCAGCCAAACTGACACACAATCACAGCCTGTGAGTATTATTCTATCACTGACAACATTGTACTTCAGGATAGACCTTGAAATGTACTTTTTGACAATGAATGTAATACCATTCTCCAGTTTGTCATTCCCAGCATAGTAGGCCATATGATTATCTGATTCAAAATGGCCAACACCACTCCATTTCAGCTCACTAATGCTTAGGATATCAATCTTTATGCATTCCATTTGATTTTTGTCAATTTCAATTTTTCCTAGATTTATATGTCATACTTTCCATATTCAGATTATCAATGGAAACTTGTAGCTGTTTATTCTCATTTTAAGTAGTGCCACATCAGCAAATTAAGGTCCTGAAAGCTTTACTCCATCCACATCATTAAAGTTGACCTTTTGAGGAGTCAGCTCTTCCTTAGTCATATTTTGAGTGTCTTCCAACCTGAAAGGATCATCTTCTGGTACTATATCAGACAATGTTTTCCTGCTATTCGTAAGATATTCTCTGGCCAATTTTTTAAAGTAGATTGCCAAGTCTTTCTTCCTACTCTACCTCAGTCTGGAAACTCTGCTGGAACTTGTCTACCATGGGTGACTGCTGGCATTTGAAATACTGGTGACATAACTTCCAGCATCACAGCAGCACACAATACACCAGAGTATGACAGACTGACAGATGAATGGTAGATACACACACACATATAATCACTCCACCACTCGACTGTCAGTTTGTTATACTGTGATGGCCTGCGTGTTGCCATGAGGCTGGAGGCTTTGCCACCAGTATTTCAAATACCAGCAGGGTATTTGTCCATGGTGGACAGGTTTCATATAGTCACTATGAGTCAGAAA